AAATTGGATATTAAATGGTTCATAAAATTTTTTCATAAGGTACGAATGACTGGAATAACGTGAGCGTATAAAAAACAATAATAAATCTCATGTTATTTTAGAAAATTAATACGAAAATCTATTTATTTACCTTTATGACTTTATAATAACAGTAAATGGCGGTAGTCATATAGCGGTGAGCACATTAATTGAATGAAGAATTCAAATTGATTAATTCACTGGCGGGTCTAAATTGGATAAAGGCATAGAACCCAAAAACTATTCTGCGGATTTAAGGATTAGTATATCTTACCACTTTTTAGATGCTACTTCAATATTTTAGGCAAAAAATTTTGACATCTTGAGAGTCTATTCTCTTACAGTAAGAATGGATTTCCATTAAAGGGAAAGTCTATATTCTTATTGATAGTTAGGCAGCTATTTAAGCTACTTAAATTAATAGTTCACGAATGGAAACTATGTATTCACTAGGCAGTAGCTTAGTGAATTAAAATGACTCAATTTGGATTCCTGAACTTTCCAATACAATGTGGAATATCCCGTTTCAATATCTACTTCAGCCAGAAACAGACATAAGTTGATTTACGATCAGTTTTTGTGAAAGGCAAATAGGAATTAGGTTCTTATTATGTCTTCAAATTCAATCTACAATTCTGCTTTAAATCTAGAATCTCCGATTTGGTACATAAAAGTAAATCGAGAGTATCTAGGTTAATACTCGTACATGCATCTGTCTTAACGGGACACGGGGCTATAACGGGGTTGAAGTACATCTCTATCGGCGTTTGAAGAGGAGACACTGGAGCACCTGTTGTGCTTTTGTCTATGTTTAACCAGAGCATGGCGCTTTAAGAGTGTCATTTCTTGATACACTCACGGACATTTCCAACATTAAATACCAGATTCTTGCATTTATCAATGCGTCTGATTGGTTCTAATATGCCTATTCTTCTACCCACAATTAAGATTTTCACATTCATCTCAAGTTATTTTGATAAATAGATTCAAGCTTTAGAGTTGCCTTTTGTTAATTTAAGCATATTCGTTATTTATTTAAAAATTGTAAAAAATTGTTTTGAATTATTTAAATAAGTTTAGAAATTGAAATTGAAAAACTAAATATAAAGTTAGTTTGCAGATTCAGATAACGTAGTTAGTTAAGTAGTATAAGAGGTATTGTCATCCTCTAAGATTGTTGACAAATGCAGCTTCTGGCAACCCAAAATGGAATAGTGTGAGTTCATATCTTTAAAAAGATAAAAGTTCCAGAAGATAACTTACATAGTTACACAGCAATATAAGTTTTCTTAACTCGTGACTCGTGACACGAATATTGGAGCTCTAGCAAAGTAACATCCAATAGTGTGAATAATCAAGCAGTTCTGTACTTTACATTAGTTTTTTGAAGTTTTTGTTAAAAATTTGAATAAAAACTGAAAGACATATAGTATAATTCATTTTACTGACTTAAAAAGACCATAATGATAGAGAAATGTTATTATTTCCATTGGATATAGTTTAATTGATATTTTTGGATTTTGAAGTTATATAGTAAATCCAATATATTAGAAATATTAGAAAAACTTTATAATAAATTCATTACAAAATACTTATAAGCTTTATTAAGATGAAAACCTATAATACTGAGTTAAATAGTTATATCTTTGTATTAAAAATTTTTGTATGTATAAACAAAAAACATATATATAAATGTATATCAAATTTTAATTATGTTCATTGAAAGGTTCAATCAATCGATCCAGTACGTTCCCTGGAGAACATTGGGCCATAAATTGAAAGTTTGATAATTGATAAATGTTCATTTATAACCTCATAACACTTGGATTATTGTGAAGCAAATCCTTAGAACATTAATGAAGCATACCTAATCTTTGACACATTAATATTAAAATATGGAACTATTAACATAGTTCTCAAAAATTGAATCTTTTTAATTTTTTTTCAATCTACTCAGAAACTCAGAAAATAATGAACTTCGTGCATTCCAAGAATGGTTTTCTATAACAAATATAAGATTTGCAATCTATAAGATACTTATCCTAAAACATAATTAAAACATAATCTGCAAAGTTTAGTCGATAAATTAGACTATAAAAGTGAAAGATATGGTCTAAAAATATATTTCAATGTTAACAAACAACACTTAAACTAATCCAAAATTCTGGATTTGAGGTGCTCAGGAACATTATTCCCGAGCAAATCGATAATAATTATAACGAATGCACAAAAGAAATTTGGACTAGAAAAGTTTCTATCCAAATTCTGTGAAATTTTCTATCATGTTTATGTTATGATATAAACAATGCTGTTCGCAATCAGTCTATTTAGCCCATCGTGTTTATATATGTGCATCAGTGGTCTATGTTCGATCTCTATCATAGCAAAAACGATTTAGTACTTGAGTTTCTAAGAATTAATTAAGCTACCAACAATCATGAAGAACAGTATTCGTCACTTGTTATTATGGTGCTTGTAGTGGATTACAGATTCAAAGTCACCTTTATTTGATATTAACAATTATTTATATATGAATAAAAAATCTGTACTATGTAACCTGACTAATATATTTGTACTTTTTACAGAAAATGTTGTTAATTTTTTGTTGATCTAACAATTTAAAATCACTCTTCCATTACAAAATTCTCAGTACTGGAAGAATATATATAGTTATAAAGACATTTATTGACGTACATTCTGTTTTTATAAACACTTATATTTATAAAAACTGTACAATTTCCTATTAGTTATTATTCAGTAATATTTACAGATTCTTATTGTTTTTTTGAAGTGCTCAGAACACATTTGAACTTTGAAGTTAAATGTATGAGTCGCTTTCTATGTAATCTATGTAACATACTGTAATATTTTTAATATAAATGGTGTTTTAAGTATACACTTTGTTTAATTAAAACTTTTTTTAATTGAAAATTATAAATATCTTATGAATATGTAATCTATGTAACATACTGTAATATTTTTAATATAAATGGTGTTTTATAATTTTAAAACACTTTGTATAATTAAAACTTTTTTAATTGAAAAATATTATAAATATCTTAAATTGTCTTCGTTATTTATTAAAGCTATTATCGTTTGAATTTTAATAGTTTTGTAAAGGGATTAAAAAATTAATTGGATCATAGTTTTAAATAAGTATTCTGTATGTATCAGACCCTGTTTACGTTAAAAACATAAATTTGTATACGTAAATATATTATATATTTAGTTAAAGTCCAAGCAAAATATATGAATAACATATTGGTGCATTTCTCATTAAAAATCTAGTACTATTCTTCTTTAGGAACGATTTCAGTAGCTAAATTGATCATATTATGAATACTCAATGAAAGCTAAAGCAATATACATAAATATGAAATAAAAAAGTAATGTATGTATTATAAAACAATGGTCAATTCGTTACCTAACAGCACTAAAAATGTGAAGAAATAAATTACTTAGCATCAAAAACAAAAAAATAGCATATAACCATGATAGAATGACGATAACAATGATAGGATTTTGTGGAATAATTTTATTCATGGAATATTGTAAAAGTACATTCTAAAGTAAACAAGATATTTCATAAACAAGTATTTGATTTAAAGCCATCTAAGCCAGGAATAGTTTTATTGACTAAATACTATACTTAAATAGTGTACTTAAATAGTATATTGAAATAGTTTACTATAAATAGTAAATACTTATATAGAGAGTATTAAAATCGTCTTGTAACCAATTATATGCATCTATAATGATAATTTTTCCCTGACGTACTGTCAAAATTGTGTAACATTTAAACAACTTAAAACATAGTTATCCGTCTGAAGCCATAATCCCTCGGTATTGATTACTTTAAGTGACTTCTATATACGAATAATTCATTTCTTTAATCGACAAATGTATTTTTAAGAAAAGATAAAAGACTAGTTTTTAACCGTCTCTACCATGAGTCATAAAGAATCAAGAATATCATGAATAACTAGAACATTTTTATAAAGAGGTTTTTTTCAAACAGTAGTGACCTACAACAACAAAAATTTATTTTTTAAATTATTTTAATTAATTGAATTTTTGGCTGACCATACAGCTGTTTCGAGTATTGCCAAATACTCATCATCAGTGATTTTGGAAATAATTCTTGTATTTAATTATTCGTAAATAATTATTTTTTGAGACTGTAAGTACAAGGAATCGAACTCGGGTCCTGCCAAGAACATTTTTATAAATTAAAATACTAGACTCAGCTCAAAATATAACTTTCTTTCTTTCTTTTTTGCACCCATAAGACAAACATACTGAAACGTTAAACGCTAAGTTCTATTCAAATTTTCAAGAATTTCCTTCAAATCCAAATATGTTAGTAAATAATAACAAGAGTACTAATATATTTAATATTTAAGTTGAAAAGGTTACAATTTTAAACTCAATGTTTATAAAAATCAAAGCTTTATCACAGCTTTATACCATTTATATATTAAGAATTATTTATTAAAAAAAGATATGAAAATTTTATATTCATCCAAATAATATATGATTTTGATAGTATTTTAGTCGTATGTGACCAATATTGCCAATACATATAATATAGTCCATATATTTTTAAAAAGTCCATGTATGAATTATGTATGTTGGACTTCATCTTAAATATTGCCAAGATCATTTGAATAATTTCCAATTTCAAAGCAAAATAATGTGAAGTCCGGTAAAGATTTGACTAAACAAATTAATTTTTTTAATTAATTATAAAAAATTAACTTAAATACCTATTATTCTTTATCTTAATTATTTTTATATTAACAAATTTTAAAAAATTTTATGAAAACATAATCTTTTTTTTTTGATATTTTCCTTTAAAATGTATACATATATTAGAAAACATTGAAGGTGGTCTTAAACAATTGCGCAGCAATATTTTAAAAATGTAAATATGATATAGGTATATCTATGTATATATACATATAATTTATTGATCTACTTACCTCTTCAACTTTTTTGTGTACCATGGTGGGAAAGAGTATCCAACCGCAATAGGCACCTAGTATTGAGACTACAATACCAAGTAAGCCTACTATCGTGGTCCAATGGACCAAATTAAATCGAGTTTTCATATTTATTTATATGTTTTTTTGTTATTATATAAATAAGCTGAATTTATAAGATTTTTTGAATATGTTGAGTATAAGAATAAAAGTACAATAAATAGTAAATATTTCGCACTTGACTAGTCAAGAAATAAAAACCCGGTAAAATTTCCATCGAAACTATTTCGAGTCTTTTTTTTTAAATTGTGTACTTGAATTATGTTTTTGAGTAATTAAGATTTTTGCAATTTTTAAGCTTTGGTTTTTTGTGTTTTTTGTGTGTAATTTCTGCGAAACATTTTATCTAAGCAATTAAAGTAACTCCGCAAGTACGAGCAAAATTACTTTTGAAAATTTCTTTTCAAAATTGTGAGCTTTAAACGAACTCTGTTAGTTTTTTGTTAATTTCTTGAATAAAAATTAATTTTTAAATTAATTCAAAATTTTAAATTTTATGATTTATTGTTTGTTGTTTTGGTTTTACTTTTATATTTTGTTTATTTTTAATTTAAAATTTTTGTTTTACAATTTATCCATACTTTTTTTTGTATTTTCTGTTGTGAAACCCACTTGAATTGACGGCGTTGGATTGCTATTGACGTACCCGACGTTGTTGGCAACTATTCTGTCCGAGCTCTCCAGTGACCGCAAAGTTAAAAACTTGTTTCGAATCGCTGAAGATTTTACTGTGTGTGGAAAGAGTAAATTTGTATCTGCGCTACTTCGAGTGTTGAGGCAAAACTAACAACGAAATTACACATTTGTAATGCAAAAATAGTAAAAAAATATTTATTTTGTGCACTATAAAAATATTTGTTTTCTTTTTTTATTATTTATAAGCAATTTATTTGAATGTTTCAATGTTTATGTGTTCCCGGTAGTATGACTACCGGATATTGGGATTGATTTCCGTTTGCACTGTTGCAGTTGCATGTGTTAGACCGACTTATATAAACAAAGCTTCTACAACTTTTCCGTTGCTTAATTATTTTAACACTGAAAATGCACAAGGGCAGGATTTTCCTTTTTAATCACATAAATTAATTCATTTTGATACAAGTTTTTTATATAATTTTAATTCCAATGTATGTATATTTTTTGATTATATCTTTCTAGTGAATATACACGGGCTTGTAGCACACAAATACGTTATGACCATCAATAATAACTTAGCAGATATAATCGTCCTACTGCTATATAATATAATAGCACGCGAAGGTTTTAGTACATTTCTCTTTAAATAGATACATTCGAATATTATTGTTTGCAATTAATTCTAGGTAATTAGTTGGATGTATTCGATATCAGCCACAGAATCTATCTATCTGATGAATTATTTGTGTGAATTACATGAGGTAATATTTTCAACGATCTCATTTACTACTGCACTACATTGCTCTGTGAAATTCACTCGCTTTGGATTTCGGTAAACGTGTCTTAAATTACGTGCGACTAGAGTTAAGCTTCAATAAAAACTAGTCACTAAAGTTCAAACGAAGCGCTTGTCCACCATCGAAGCTTGTTGCTGCTGTTGCTGTTATTTTTCTTTTTGTTGTTGTTTTATATTTCTTTTTCGCTACTTTTACAAATCGTCGCCCTAAAGATATTGTCGTTCGCTCTCTTCGCGGATCGTTTTCTTGCCAAAGCCTTTTGCTTTTTATTTTGCGTTTTTATGGTTTCTTTGAATTGTTTTTGTTTTGTTTTTACTTTTTAAGTATTCAAAAGTGCAAAAGACCTTCAGCGGGTACTCTAATAATAATAACAACAACAATTACGGACACAATAATACCGAAAACAGCAGCAGCTGATCAGATGATATGTAGGGGCTCTTGCTCATATGAACCCTAAATGTTGTAGTTGTAATATCCATAAGTTATATAAAGTTAATATAAAAGCTTTATATATATAAAGCACAGTAAATGGCAATAAAGTATTATGGTCTTGAAAACGTGTTCTCAACTTCTTTATAATAGATTATTATATGTTATTATATGTTATATTGGTTAAAAAGATAATGGCAATCAAGCATTATGGTCTTGAATATACTTTTATTGCTTTAAAAGATCGTAACGGATACAAAGTTGGGTTCAATATAGTCTGTATATATATTTCTTATAAAAGATTATTATATGTTAAACTTTTTTTTAAGAAGATAAGACCAATAAATGATTGCGTTCTCTAAAACATTATATGGAAATTATATGGAGATAATATTATTTCGGCATTATGGTCTTTAAAACATATTTTCCAGTCTTAAAAGTTGTAAATTAAAATAAATTTGGTTCAGTATAGTCTGTATAATAATTTTATATGTTATAACTGAATAATAGATTATAAACAGAAAATTGGCTAGCTAAGCCGGCCACCTAGCATCACTCTCATATGGGTTGTTGAACATAGAAACATTGAGAGGAAGAAAAATCAGCCAGTTTGGCCTGCATTGGTTATTCTGCTAGATGTGTTCCAAGTAGTATCGGTTTATGTTCTGATAGAGATCGTTACGAGAAGTACTTACCTCTACTTTCTTTAGCTTGCCAATAATAAATGGAAGACACCTACGGCATGTGTAACTTGCCAGTCAACTTGTCTCTTGTAAAGAAAGATTAGATCTTGGGAACTCAACAAAAAGTACCACATAAATAATGTAAGGCTTACTGCAGTTTTCTTTAGTCATTAGTATATAGGAATCTACCTATATACTAAACTGCGTATTTCTTTTTATAATCATTGTAGAAGTTATGGAACCTCACAAGAAAAAGAAACAAACAGATATTATTTCAGTGTATGTCCAGTTTTGGCAACCAGAAATAACAGTTTTCTAGGAAAGTACTTTTTTTGACAATTTGTTAAATTGTTCATTGGTAAAGACGAAAGATTTATTAAATTATTTATCTATTAAATTATCCATCTATCTATTAGTCAGTATCTAGGGATAACTCCACTTAAGATTGCTTTGAAATTATCTAAATTTTTACGTTACATTTAAATAATTTGTTTATTTATAAAAATTTTTCTTTACATATTTCTGTTGAACCCTTATTTCTTAGTGCTTTTGTGTGAGGTGAATGATGACATATTAAACACATTTTTATTTTTAATTACAACAACTACAAAAATGTTCAATATATAAACAAATAAACTAAAAATTTTTACGTTACATTTAAATAATTTGTTTATTTATAAAAATTTTTCTTTACATATTTCTGTTGAACCCTTATTTCTTAGTGCTTTTGTGTGAGGTGAATGATGACATATTAAACACATTTTTATTTTTAATTACAACAACTACAAAAATGTTCAATATATAAACAAATAAACTAAAAATGAGTTTGCATCCATCACTCATTCTACTTATAGGGGTCATGCGGTATTTTGCTACGTCTTTCTGGTTTACCACGCTTCAAAAAATCTCTCTCTTTTGCTTTGCTTTAAGCTTTTAACATTTTCTTATTAACTTAAAAATTTATAAAATTAATTTTATTTATTAGTGGAATATAAAATTACTGGAAGATGTATAGTACAATATATATAACGCTATTAAGTACGAGCTAGGATGTGATTGCCATAGCCATACGAGTAAAGTTCAAAACTATTTTACTATTTTATTTCTGTATAAATTATATAAAAATTAAGTATAATATTCTTAATTATTTATATATTTAATTTTTGTTTAATAAATTTGAAAATATAATATTAAAATTTAATTACATATATAATTTATTATTTAATTTGTAAGTTTCTAATATGTATATATTTATATACTATGTCGTTGTTTAGTAAAAACTGTAAATTTTAAATAATGAACTATTTTTATTTATATAAATAAAAATGAAAGTAAAGTAGAAAACATAATTTTCCAAACTACCTCAACCATCGCGTCTAACGAGTTTACCAAATTAGCATAACCACAACTTGAACTTCGCTGAAGTTTATTCAAAACTTTAGAGTTTGTATTATGTGGGTGCACATATGAAATACACTGCCATTTAGTAATTAAGACTCATTAGCAACTTAAATGAAAAAAAATGCTTTAGTTTGTAAAATATATAAATGGTATAAAATTATTTACCAGATTGTTGGGAATTTCTTCAAATGTGTAGCGAAATATGAATTTTTACTAAATTAAAAAGATTTAGTAAAGTCAAGTCAAACAATAAAAAAAAAATACACCAAAGACGTAAAATTTTTTAATAAAACCAATTATTTCCCAGGGACATGTAAGTCAAAAAAAAAGCTTAAAAGCCGTAAAAATTTTTAATTAAACCAATTACTTTACCAGGTAGTTCTGGCGTATGAGTAATCTTTTTTCCACTACTAAAATAATTGATTCAATTGTTTTTGTTGCCAATGAATTACTTGCTAAAATAATAATTAACTACACTCTAATGAAGTGAGTAATTTACACATTTTTACCTTTGAACTTAATTGCTATGTTTACTATGTACAAATGAGCCTAAAATTAATTTTAAATCTTCATTGTTGGGTTCGTAATAAAACTTGCCATGGTGAATTGCCTAAATTGATTGCATGTTGCCAGCGGCGTACGCCAACTCACACCCGCTTTGACTTTGATACCGTGTCAGGTGCACAAATTGTCATTGTGCACACCCGTTGGGCTATTTTCATGAGCAATAAAACATTATAGAAAACAATAAAAATTCTCCTAGATACATACGCGCTGTTGGCGGCACATACTCGCAGATACAAATGCATCTGTGGTATGTGTGCTATGTGTGCAATAATAAGGCTTACAAATTTACATGCAGCAAGAGAGAAATATGAACTGTCTTGAACTGCACGTAAGAACCCATATACAGCTATCTGCTTGGCATGTCTAATGCAGAGATAATCGCTCGAAATGTCGGTAAATTGAACAGGCATATGTGGAACAAGGACATTCGTTATAAAAAATTCTACAGTTGTAATTTCATATGTAGGTGGAATTTTTTTATGCAGTTTGTGCTAGAAATCGCCGGCCGGTATAATTTGTTCAAGCGATCAAAATCATTCATAAAGTTAATTAAAATTTATTGAAAATAGAATAGAAAAAGAATATATTCTTTAATTATAGATAACTTTTAGTAAATAATTTAATTAATTAAATATATAATACATATAGTTTCCT